TCCTTTAACAATTAAATTGTTACTTAAAATTCAACCCCCCCCCCACGAAATTTCACCTCTTTGCAGTGAAAGATAGTTCAAAGCTCTATTTTCTTTACATTTTTGACCACCCTGTAAATAGGGATGAGAATAATTAAAAACTTTTTCCTCTAAAATAGGGATCAAAGACCTTTAAAATGGGGTATAACTGACCCTCCTTTACATTTGAAAATTTCCCAAACATCACCCCCAACCCCCAAAATCTCGGAGCTTTTTTTGAGTTCAAAAATAATTTTGCTGAACTCTTTGGGGTCAAAATAGGGGGTCCCAGTTGCAATCAGATTTCTATTTGCATTCATATTGGAGTTATAGAAGCCGGCCGGGTGGTCTGGGCCACCCTGTGTACATATAACAGCAAAACATATTATTGAAACTGTTTATGGTGATTACAGGTAAATTAGACATTAATTATGTGGAAGCGTCCAAACGGGGCTCGATATTAAGGTTGGGTTGTTGTCATGTTAGTTTGTAATCTATTAACAACAGAAAAACTTATAAAATTATTTGTATAAAAACAAATAAAAATTGTACTTATTTACAGACAGAATTGTAATAGTGCAGACACTGTTAATGTCTATAGTAATTTATAAAAAAACGGTAAAAAAGAAGTTGTAATTCAACAGCTGATCTTTGAGTTGAATGTTTAACCACAATCAAAAATTAACCAAAGTCAAGAAGTTGATCAAATTATAGGCTTTCTTAAGGCTCTTTTTTTTATAAAATTTTAACCTGATTAAGGTAGGTGAATCTCTCATTATGGTGTAGGTCTAAAACAAAAAAAAAAATAATAGATTTACAGGTCCTCTCGTTATACATTTAACTTGTCCGTTTTCAATGAGTTTTAAGAAGTGGGATTATTCTTGTATTATATTCATGCAACAAAGGGGGGACACACAGTGAATAGGCTATGACGCACACAGTAACGCTTCATTGCAGTTCCATCATTGCAGTCATAACCATAATCATAACGACTGTGAGATCCACCAGCACACAGAGAAGTGGCTGTTAAACTGAATAACACTGCAAGTTCACTAGTTTTACGACTAGCGAGCTTTCAATGAATTCATTTAATGTTTATGTGGTGAGAGATACAATTTTATGAATAAAACAACATAACTTCAAAATAATTAATGTCTGGTGATTTCCGTGTGTTAACCTGCAATAATAAAATCCAGGTCTGACGATACAATTGCGTTCTAGTTAATGCTTAGTTCGACTGCATATAAAACCCCGTATGATTTTATGAAGTCTTCCAGGAAATTGTACTCAAGCAAACCAATTAAAATGTAAAGGCTCGTGCATTTATATAGTCAATAACATTTATCAATTAACATATACTGTAATAACTACTTAATACTGTTTCTTATCTAATGTCATGTTATGTGTATATTCACCACTGGGGTTTTTTATATATTTGCTGCTTTTATTAATAATAAATCCTCATGAGTGGTGTATTACGAAGTATTTGTGATGTTTTGTTATTTATGTTTATAATGATTTAACAAAACAGCGTTTCGGCGAGGTACCACTTACTCACTTACTAAATCATCACAATAATCCCCAAACAAAAAAATATTTATAACGTCGTACAATTGTTATTATAATAGTTTATTATCTTATACATTATGTCCAATAATATCAAGTTAAAATAGGAAACCATGATGAATAGACACGGTAAAGTGGGTTGGAATAGTTGAGGATAAGGCGCTTACCCCCTGAGGCGGCCATACTCCTCTGGGCTTGATCAATCGCATCTCTCTAGGAACATAATTACTGAAGCTTGCCCCCTCCACTACACTATGCTCTGTCTGGTTATAGCTAAAGACGTTGAAAAATAACAGAATGTCATAGTATTTCTAAAGTAAAGAAGCGTCAACAAAACGCAAAAGAGGTCCCTGAATTAAAATACTATTTGATCAGAAAACCTAATACTAGTAATCAAGTCAAGCTTTTAGACTTAAACAGTTATTTATATGTTGCCATCCTATACCTTAACAGTAAGACTATTGAGTGCATGTACATATTTTTTTAATTAAATCTTTTCTTAGAAAAATAAAATTAAAGAAACATTCATGGACAATTTGATATTTACGGATTATATTCCTCTAGTTAATTAAGTAACTTTTGATTGTTTTAGGTGTTTTAACTCAGTAATATAAAATTCGAAAGATCTAAACTTACAAACGCATTAACAAAGCCATTTAGGATTTTCAATATCTTATAAACTATGAGGTACACTTAATACAATAGGGGTTTTATCTTTAACGTCCTTTTTCCATCCGTCCTACGTAACCGATTTTCACGGTTTAGGGGGAACTTTAAAGATTATGATCTAGAGGAGTGACGAATTTTAATAAAATAGATAATATTCCTTCAGGGCTTATCTCCCCCCCCCTGGTCTTTGATATTCTCTAAAACGTAATTTCAAAGGTATAGTCGCCGCTGAAAAACTTGCTTTAAAAAGTTTTAATATTTTAATTGTAATTAACCAGCTTACAGCATATTTTGAACTTTAAATAGGCTACTTGTGCCGATAATCGTAGCTTGATTTAGCTAAGTTATATGATATAGATCTACTATAGGCCTATACATATTTAACTTTCTGTAGAATAGGAGTGCGATATATATCGACTTCCAAATAAGATTAGGTTAGGTTATGTTATATTATAATTATTAGGTGTGGTCTGCATAATACCAAAGTGCCAGGATATTAATATTATAGTTAATTGTTTTGAACAAACACTCATACTATTTTTTATATGATGATGTTTATTCTTAAATGTTAATTTTCTGCCTCGGAGTAATCTATCTATCTATACTATTATAAAGAAGAGGTGGTGTCTGTGTGTGTGTTTGTATGAGGTAATCTCAAAAACTACTGAACCGACTGGGCTCAAATTGCACACAAATGAAGCTACAGCTCCGAGGATACATATAGAACTATTCCCGCTTCGATATTTTCCTAGGGCTCTGCCCCGTGGGCTTTCAAAAATTTGAGGTGAGAGATTTAAAAGTAAATATTGATTGATGGTATCCATGGTAACAAAGAACAAACCTACAAAGTTTAAAAATGTAAACAAGCAGAACTAACTGTCAAATGAATGTTGATTTCATATTTCCACACAGCTGGTTCAAACATATTAAATACTGCACGAATATTAGAACAGAGAGGGTAAGGATTATAAATTTAAAATAATGATGTCACTAGCCCGAATGTAAACATTATTTGACATTACTTAAATGGAGCTGTCAAACCATATGTTAATATAATTTGAATTTCATTAGTATATGAATCTTTCAGTTACTTCATTTGTTTATGTTTATGATCTATTATACTGAGTCTGTTCTAATATTTGTGAAATGCTGTAATAATATTTTAGAGGGAATAATTCGCTGTAAAAAAATTGTTCATGGATATAGGAAATAATTAAGATTCTATAATCATTGCCCTATCAATCTAGGCTCTTATTCTGAGTTTTATGAGGTTTATTGTGATAGTTTTTCGTTTACAGTGCAAACCATGAAATACATTCTTTTATTATACCTTAAAATCTATCTTTGGTTTTGTATGGTAGGTAGCATAAATAAGTAATCACAGTAAGATTTAACAAAAACGTACTATTATCAAGTTAAGTAGTACAGTTAAATTTTGTTTCTAAATTTGGCATTTGGAAAACCATTTGGCATGTTTCTAAGAACCAACATTGTCTCTTTTGCATACTGACCCCGATGCAAGGCCCGGGTATAGCTCCTAGCAAATAGAATAGTAGCGCTGATTTGCAGTAGCTGTTCAAATGGCGCTACTAATTGCACCAACGATAACATTAGGTTTAACGAGTACCTAGGTTTTTGCTGCCTACAGGGAGGGCAACGAAGTGTGATTTTAAGGAACATATCATTAGCTTACTATGAAATAAATACATTTGCCAAGTTTGATAAAAATTGATCCATAAACAAGCAATATTACAACAGTTTACTTATCCTACTAATATTATAAGTAAGAAAGTTTGGATGTATGGATGGATGGATGGATGTTTGTGACAAGTAAACGCGAAAAATACTAACGCTAATTTTAACCAACTAGCAACAAAAAGTTGTGGTACACAATGAGAACTTAACTTTTTTTCATGGTTTAGGTGCAGTGGTAGAAAATTAGGGCTATGGTAGATACTGTAGGACACTATAGGATACCGTATAAATTAAAAGACAAAATTTTCTTAAACCTTGTCCTCTCCCATAACTACAATAAGCATTTATACTTATATGCCAACCCCGTACGAAGGACGGGTACTCTGCTAGTCAAAGATATAAGGGTATTGCATTGACCTGGGAGACGAGTTTTGGGCTCCATTTAAATGCGCAATAAATTCACGGGCCTACCGCATTGTTTATAAAATTGTTATATTAGAAGTAATCAGAACCACATATTGTGGAAACGAAATGTATCTTGTTATACCATCCTTAACAATACTGTACTACTTCTAGCATTGGAGAAACAGTTGTAGATATTTTAAAATCAATAAAATATTTACTAAATTAACCTTTTAGGTTAGTAAACCAAAGAAGTTAGCTCTTTGAAAATTATTGCATGATTTATTTAGAGGCAACATAGCTTTTCTCTTTACTACAACAGGTACAGACAATGAGAGTGTCAACTCTGGTGGGTCAAATCTATAACCTTCAGTACATCTACACATTTGTGACAAAATTCCCGTTTAATTGGTTTCAACTACAAGTTTACGTAGGCCAATGGGCTTATAATAACTAAATTATAACCGGCACCGTTAGAACTCCTGTAAATAGTAATTACTCGATAACAGAACAAAGATAGAATATCGCTAAGCCGTCTTTAGCCCAGATTGCAATATTGCATAACAATTACAGCGGGGTGGGGGTGGTGGAGGGAGGGGGAGGTGCCGCGACGCGGAGGACATGGTCAGACAGCGCCGCGGTGCCGGGACATGAGGCTGCCCTGTGTGCGGCCTGTGGCCCTGGTCCTACTGGTCATCCTCAGGTACTCGCCCCACACGCTCACCAATCAGCTTTTGCACTAGCACACGACACACGCAGTCAAGTACTGGCCCGTTGATAAGCACCGCTGTGCGTTAGGCCTGCACAGCGTCAAGGTGGCATGCGTCGGACACTCACAATGAACATTGTAAATTTACATTTATAGCACAAAAAGCTCTGATGAATCATCAATCTCCAAGTAGATGAAGGTCCAGGAAGATTGTTTGTAACGATATACAGTTTCAGCTAAGGTTTTTTTTTCAATTCACTTTTTTAAATCTAAATTTAACGAAATTGGTACACGAGTACTTTCAGCAAAAGCCTGGTTAAACGATACTATAAGAGCCCTAGCCACCTCAAAATATATGGATATCGCCTTAACATTTTGCTTTATATACTTATAACAGATGGTAAAACTGTTATTTTAACATGTACATTTAGTTTGGAAGAAAATAGGCTATTATTAAAAATGAGTCTAGATACGAGATGATTCCAGGAAGTTCCAATTAAGTACAACGCTCGATGTACAAGCAACCTGGATAGGTACACTAGATGTGGCAAGAATTAAACTCAATATTTAACGGTAAAAAATAAATATTGAAATACTATGTCTAAAGATTTAGCATATTAATTTCTACTATAGTCCCAGACTGTACAAAAGAGTTTTATTGTCCGTATTTTTTTACATCAAATCAAATCTACCAATAAACAATGAAAAAAATTATTAATCCCTAGGGCGTAAAGTAACTGTTTTGACACAAGCTCAAGTTTAACACGGACTATGAGCGAGGATTGAAAAGACACATTTCCCGTGTGAGGAACTATATTTCTCGTCATATTGCATCATTAACTAACAAACTGAGATGGAAAAAGAAAATACTTTTCATGTAATGATGGCCTCTCAAAACGACTTCCAGCTTGTTTCCGATTCTTCTAATGTAAATAAGTAGCTGTTTGTGATTCAATCATTTAATCTATGAATGTGTGTGTGTACCTTATACCATCAATATGTCAACACAATTTAAAATAATACAACAATTAGCTAAAACCTTATAACGTAATAAATCAATCGATAAAGAATGTCGATGCATGCGATAGCTTTAAATCGAAATATACAACTGATTACAACAACTGACTTTTGCTTCCTAGGGGACTGAAACTGTTATTAACTCCATAGGGTGTAAAAATGCTACTTTAGACCCGCACGCATGTATATGCCGAAAACATAATAAAGATATTGGAAATTGAATTAATACTGATAAACGTTGTTGAAGCATATAATAAACAAGAATTAGATGAACATGTTTGTACCTAGTTATTTACTGAACAAGCATTTCTAATTTACATTTAAACTACACCCTATAACCCCGTGTTAAATGGAAGGTTAACCAGTGGACTTGTTATGACCGCATAAACAGAATCGTCTAACACTTGGCAAGTTCCTGAGTTAACACGCCACAACTTGCGGTGTTGTCAAACCGAGACTGAGCCGTTACAATCTGCCGTGAACAGGCAGGTGTTCCCTTCACTTTACAGTGCAAAACATACATCAGCATCAGTAGTTATTTTGGGTAAGTTACTTTTCATGATTGAGGACTGAAAGTTCTAAACGAAATCAGAATAAAAACTGTAGAGGAACAACAACAACAACAACAAAAAAAACTAAAATAATATTATCACCAGCACACCATAACATATAGCAAGATACTAAGTTTCAGTTCCTAGTTAAAGCAGTAAGGTTAGGTTTATTTGATAGAATGGTTATCAATTTGCATATTATTTCAAATGTTAATTACACTGCCTTAGCATCGATAAACCCATAAATGTATCGCCTAGCTTAATAATAGCTACAATAAGCCTATAGTACTTAGTTACAACCCTCCATAAAGAAATAAAAATATCCCCTTGTGTAATCGAAGTGCAGTTATACCCGCATGAATCTTGTAAGGGTACTAGCTGAAGCATGTTGCTGCTAACACTGCATTAGTTATTGATAAAATATCTTCACTATGGGTATGGTTGGGATGACTAAGAGTAGACATTATAAATACGTTAATAAAGTCTACAGACTTAAAGAAAAAAAAAATAAAGAAAAAAACGTCATTCCCGTGTAGCTAAACAGGCCCTATACAGTTATCCAGTATAATCCTATGGCTTTAGATCAGATGGTAATTTCCAGATCAGAACGTACAGGTACACATAGTACTCACATTCAAAAGCAAAACACCACTCAAATTCTGAACTCATCATTTCATGGCAAAAATGTATCAAGGAGTAATAATTAATAAACGTATCGCTGATTCTCGTACAATGAGCGCATACTAGCTTGCAACCGCCCCATAAAGCAGGGTCTAGTTTCCGTCAAAAACTGGGGAAAACACTTATTTGACTATGAAAACATTCTTAAATATTAATATTTTGTCAAATGAAAGAGAAAAGTAATCTCAGCAAGCTTAAAAACATATAAAATGGAAACTTTCAACAGCCAACAATGACAATATTTTCACATAACCATTCTGCCAAAAAAGAAATGAAAATGGGAAAATATAACTATATACACAAAGTTGGAGAAATGCGAGAAGAGTTTTACTGCGTATAACACAGTGTTTACGCTATAATGAGTCAGAGTGGCGCTACACAACTCAAGGTGTTTGTCGTGTGTCCAAGGTTTCTTACTATATTGAAATCAGATATTCAACTGCTCACGCCACCACATCACGCACCCCGCCAAGGAGCCGCCCGACCCTTAACCCTCAAACCTCAACCCTGCACTTAATTAGTATTGTGAAAGCGAGCTAGACATGTTTTTAAACTGTTGTGAAAAGCTATCGTTAACTTACAAGTGCTTTCTAAATATTATGTTTTGCAGTTAATGCTAAAATTGATTAATTTGAAAGTTATATAAAGAAATGAAGATGAATGTAAGCCAGTAGATATAATAGGACAAAGATACCCCACTTTCGGCGTTTTAGAGGCACTTTTAGGGCACTTTTTATAGGGGAAAAATGAGAAAAATGAGTGGCTCATTTTTTTGGCCACTTTTTTAAAGACCCAGCTCTCGACCTATACACCCCTATATAAATTTTCTACTTTTTTAATACTGAAAAACACGTCTGGAATATGGCTCATTTTTTTGGCCACTTTTTTAAAGACCCGGATCTCGACCAATACAAACCCATACAAATGTTCAAACTCCATTAAAATTTTAAATCCACATTCATTCACAAGTATATTCTCAAAATCATGTGAGGTTTGCGCGCGAACTCGGGCACGCTTATGGCTATGCATAAACAATGCCTGACTCAAATGAATGACTGTGAGTGTAACCTAATGACCCCAATCAAAATCAATTGTCAACATTCTCTGCCTGTCTGGCGCCAGACTGTCTGGGGCAGGTTTAGACAATTACCAAATATGTTTGATTGATTGACCTCAATTATTCAATTGTTCAATTTCAGTTTGTTCAATTTCCATTGTTAAGTTCTAAATTAATTTAGACAATTTTGTGGTATATAAGGGGGGCATTCTACGGAATCATCACTAACTCTTCCACCTGGATCTTCTTGTTTTGGTAAGTCTTTGACATCTAAGCTAGACTATTGTAATATGTTGTCGCGTGTCGGGTCATGGGATCAATTGGTGACGTAATTGGTGCTTGTAGTCATACTCTGTATTTCTTTTAACTTAGGAGTGTAGCTAATTTCCCGAGTCCATTTTTAAAAACTTAGCCGAATTGAGTCACTAAGGAACATGTAAAAAATGTATATAAGTCTATTTTTAAACACTTAGAGTATTTTGAACAGTCACCAAGGAACTTAAAATGTATATAAATCTATTTTTAAACACTTAGAGTATTTTGAACAGTCACTAAGGAACTTAAAATGTATATAAGTCTATTTTAAAAAAACTTAGCCAAATTCACTCATGAGGGGGACTTTGAGTCAAAAGTTTGCACAAGTTATTATTTAAAAACTTAGCCAAACTTCACGCACTGGGGGACTTTGAGTCAAAAATGTGTACAAGTTATTATTTAAAAACTTAGCCGAATTATACTCACTATATAATTTTGTCGAGTTCCTTTTAACATAGGTAACATAGTCTTCTCTATAACTAACACTCACCATGTATAAATATAGACTCAGCATTCTGAATTGCTAAAAAGTATTTTTATTTAAGATTTTGGATTTAGTTTTGATTTAAAAAATTACAATTGCCAAATTTTATTGTATGAAATTGTTTTGAATATTAAAATTTAAAATTCTGATTTAAATTATTATTTCCCATTAATTGAAATTGTCTAAAATGTAATTTCCACCATATAGAAGATGCTAACTTTGTTTTTTAGTTACATGTCAACTGTGTGCTGCTTCTCTATCCAAAAAAGTAACTTATTTTGTTATTACTATTTTTAAGTGAGTCAAAAATATATACAAGTTATTATTTAAAAACTTAGCCAAATTCACTCACGGGGGGACTTTGAGTCAAAAGTGTGCACAAGTTATTATTTAAAAACTTAGCCAAATTCACTCACGGGGGGACTTTGAGTCAAAAGTGTGCACAAGTTATCATTTAAAAACTTAGCCAAATTCACGCACCAGGGGACTTTGAGTCAAAAATATATACAAGTTATTATTTAAAAACTTAGCCAAATTCACGCACCAGGGGACTTTGAGTCAAAAGTGTGCACAAGTTATTATTTAAAAACTTAGCCAAACTCACTCACGGGGGGACTTTGAGTCAAAAGTGTGCACAAGTTATTATTTAAAAACTTAGCCAAACTCACTCACGGGGGGACTTTGAGTCAAAAGTGTGCACAAGTTATAATTTAAAAACTTAGCCAAATTCACTCACGGGGGGACTTTGAGTCAAAAGTGTGCACAAGTTATCATTTAAAAACTTAGCCAAATTCACTCACGGGGGGACTTTGAGTCAAAAGTGTGTACAAGTTATTATTTAAAAACTTAGCCGAATTATACTCACTATATAATTTTTTCAAGTCCCTTT